GATTCTCTTTTGCTAAAAGATAAGAGAACAGAGGAGTTTTAGCTATATTTGCTTATATTTAGCTACATTTGCTTATATTGTTCCCTGCTGTACAAGTGCTTGAGCCATGCCAGAGAATAATTGTCCACAAGATTTTAAACATGCCCTGCTGGTGTGGCTCAGTGGATTGAGTGCTGGCCCGCAAACCAAAGGGTCGCTGGTTCGACTCCCTGTCAGGGCACATGCCTGGGTTGCAGGCCAGGTCCCTAGTCAGGGCCATGTGATAAGAGGCAACCACACACTGATGTTTCTCTCTCTTTGTCTCCCTTCCTCACCCCCCCCCAAAGATAAATAAGTAAAATCTTTAAAATAAAAAGATTTTAAACATAGGAGTTCTGAATTTTATCTGGTCAAATCACTGAAATATACCATTAGAAAATGTCTGGTCATGAATAAAATCTTAAGTCACGTAGATTAAAAATGACTTGCTGCTTCCACTTATCATGTTTCCATAAAAGCCGTTTTCAAAATACGTTCTCTTAAAATAGCTTCAAAATAGTTCCTGGTCGAATGGAAACAAGTGTTGGGAAAATTCTCTTGTTGCAGACGCATTCATTAGTGTGGTGTTAGCATTGCCAAAAGGAAGGAGGACATTGCCAGGGCAAACACGCTCGGCCCTGAGAACCTTCCTTTCCTGAATTCCCGGCCTGCGCTTTCTCGTCTGCTCCCCTCCTTGTCCAGGAGTTCCATTGTTGCCATCATCGTCCAGAGTGTGAGTGGCTTTGCCACAGATGCTGCCCACAGCTTAGCCAAGAACAAATGTACAAGAGAGATATGTGCTTATTTTCATTTATTTGCTTTGGGTATTTTTCCAACAGTTGAAAAAGCCTGGAACAGGAAGAGGATTGTAGTCTGGGAATTGTTAGCATTTGGCTGGCTGTGCTTTGGTCCCTGTTTTCTGCCTGCTTGGGAACAGTCAGCAGATACAGTGTTGCTTGGTGGTGTTTTAGCACGTTGGTAGCTTTGTAGTCTCCAGAATACTTTTGTTCCCAAACACGTGCCTTACAGAATAAATTTCCTTTAAGGACTTAAACTCTGGACATTTCTCCTTAAGTCTTCTGTATTCAGAGCTCTGGCCGTTGTTACTAAATCCTACTGTTTTAGGGCTGATGGAGTAAGACTGTAGGTTTCAGAGATGCTGGAGTCTAACTGTTTCTCTTTGCTGGTGGAGGAACGGGCCCACAGAAGGAAGTGACCTGCCCAAGGCCTGCAGTTGGTAGCTGAGCTGGGGCGAGCCCAAGTCTCTGCTGGTGCAGTCTTCTCTGCAGTCTGATTCTGCCGTCTGTCGCCAGGCTCGGACAGGCCTTTCCGCTTCACAGGGGCACTGCGGACTGCGCTCCAACACATTCATTGCTTAAAAATGTTCCTAAAAAGGGCGGGCTGAGTCCTTTTTGGCCCTCTTTGGCTATGTACTCTTAGACTCAACCAAGCCAAAAATCTAGATTTAATTGAAAGCAGTGTGGAAACTATATTGATTCCAAATGTAATCTCCAGGCCTTGTACAAGGAGGGAGGCACCCTAACCTTTCAGGGGCAGTTTTAATAAACATGTAAAGGTCTTTCACCATAACTGTTTTCTGGACACACCTCTGAGGTTTCCTGTGACATAAGTTGTTGAAGCTTCGCCCTTACTGTCGGAGAGACAGCTCATTCCGTTCTGCCTGGATTGCCATTCTCCATCATTCTTTCCCTAGCAGGCTTCCCACCTTACGCAGAATGAAAGCCAGCATCCTTAAAGGGACCCACAGATGCTCATTATCTCTCTGACCTCTCGGCCGGTCTTCTGCCGCTTACCCAGTTCAGCTTCACCACTCTCTTTGCTGGTCTTCAAACACCCAGTAAACTCCTGGAGCACATTGCACTGGCTGCCCGAGCTGTCCACACTCTTCCCCGGGCTGCGGGGTGACTCCTCCCCCACTCACACCCTTCAGACTAAGTCACCCTCTCTGTAAGGCCCTCCCTGACCATCGTGTTTAAAATTGCAGCCCCGCCCCAGCATTCCTGTTTCCAGCCCCTTCTTTGCTATGTGTTTCTCCGTAACACTTGCCATGTTCTAACAGCACCTCTGTTTTTAAAGAGCTCTCCCGGTGATTCTTCCCTGCGGGCAGCACAGGAGCCTTCTGCCATCGCTGTTGCTTCACTAGGCGCTCCTTCCAGAATTCTAGCTGAAGTATCTTAAGTACCAAGTTCAATGTTAAGTTCTCAGTTGTAACTTCAAAATACTCCCCACATAACAGAACAAGTCTCTTGAATTAAACCGTATCGTGGCTAACCAGTCATGTTTCCGTGCGCCAGGAAGTGTCTTGGCAGTTACGATAGCAGGATGTTCCTGTACGTAACTGATCTTGACAGCCGGTGCCTCATAACCTGAGGGTCTTCTGATTTTTTGTGATGAATTTGTATTATTAAGCCAGAGTATTTGAGATATAAATACTCAACTGAAATGGTTGATTTTAGTGGCGCTTTTCCTTGAAAGGGTTCAGCACTGGATAACCTGTGTATAATTAGGTTTGCTTTAGAGTGTTTGCTACTGTTTATAATTTTTTTATTTGAAAGTGTTTTCCAGCTGTTAAAATTAGACATTGTAAAAATTGTGGCAAGTAGAAGAGTAGTAGTAGAAATGGGGGAGGGGGGCCTCTAAAGCTCACTCCCGTTGACACTCCAGCCTTTCCGCATTGCCTGACCCTGCTTCTGGAGTGGGCCGGGCGGTGTGTCAAAGTATGGGCGGGTGTAGGGGCGGTAAATGTAAAAAGGGGCGTGTGGGGAGTATTTGAAAAATGTAATGGAGAAAATATTTCCATCATGAAGAATTAAGCACTGTTAATAGTTGTACATGTTTGCTTCTATTTGGTGTCTATGTGTGCACTTTTTAAAAACTGGAGCGAATAATATACACATTCTGTCTTTTTAAAAGGCACATAGTATTATAAATTCATCTTTAGTTACTGTTGCCCATTCTGTCCCCTGATTCTACCATTGACTGTGCACCTTCACCGAAATAATTTTGCAAGAGTTTGATACATGTTGTCCAGTGCAATTTCCACACTTGTTACCATAGAGAATGCATGGTGTTGCTTTGTTTTAGTTTCGCTAAATGGTATCATGTGGTAAATATATCATTCTGCGACTCTTTCTCCCCTCGGTTTGGATCGATCCAAGCTGATACTGAACAGTTCTAGTTCGTTACCTTGGCTGTATGGAACTCCTAGTATATGGATGTGCTTACAGTTTCTCCAGTCCCTTTTGATGGAGTCAGATTTGTGTCTTAGCTTTCATAAATAATGCTTCAATGAGTAGTCCTCATGGATCTTCATGAACACCTATATTTTTCTAGAGTCATGTAGGTTTTTATCCTGCTTTTTCTCCTCTTAACCTTAAGATATGAGCGTTTCCATTAGCTTAGTAAAACCTCTTCATAAACACATGCCTCTTAAGTCTAGACTTTGAAACATCTTTCATTTCCATAATAAAAATTAGTATGAAACTGCAATTGGCTACAAGGCTTTTCTTTTTACATCAGAGTAATGTGAACATTGCATGGGTTCTCTTAATGGTAGTAGATAAAACATAAATTATTTCAACACAGGATTACCAAACAGGCCTTAGAAGCATAATCAGTACTTGGAGTGGCTGGAGCAGGCGAGCACTGGCGTACCTGGGACTGCGTGTTCGTCCCTCCTTTCCTGAGTCTAGAGAAGTTTCTTAGGTTTTCTGAGATGTCCTCTGTCACAATGCATTCTTGGGGGTCCTCCTCTGATGCCACTTCCCTGACTCTTTCCCGACAACTTCCTCTTCCCTGGCCGTATCAGCTCTGCACATGCACTGCAGTCACTTCTTCATGTCTCTTGTTCCACGGCTGCAGTGACCTCCGCAAGAACAGTGGAGTAGTATTCTGTCCCCTCAACAAGCGCACTGCCAGACGCACAGGCACTGACCAAATATGATTTGAGTGAAGGAAAGTGAGAGACCGTGTGAGGGGGTGGTGAGAGAGAGTGGGAGTGGGAAACAGGGGTGGTCAGTTCGGTGAGCACTTCAGTCTTTGGAAGCACGGAATGGAATAAGGAAGTTTTAAAAGTAACTGAGGTGAAAAGGATGATGAAATGACAGCTTTGACCGTGGATCTCTGCTTTAGAATATTGCCATCTGCATGCATGCAAACTGATTATGTATCACCAGTTTTAAGGTAGAAAATAAATGAATTTCTCCTTGGAATTTAAACATCAGTATATTTGTTAAAGTCCATACTTGTTCTTCTATGAATAAATCAAAAGAACTTGGATCCCTGACAAATTTAGCCATCTTACAGAATTTTTTTTAACTCCTTGCCTCATTTCTTGGTTGCCCCAATTTTAATCAAAGCTGGGTTTCCTGGAGTGAGTCGACTAAAGTGAAAGGAAATACTTTGGTCACCGTCCTTATGAAATTCTTTGTGTTGTGGAAGTGGTGCCCCTTTAACATTTCAGCAGTTTCATTGATGTCTGCACGCACTGTGGCAGAGCGATGCCGGGAACTGAGCTTTAGAAAGAGAAGTTCAAATGCAGAACCTCCACAGTTAGAGATTGGACAATAAAACTTCGGGGGTGGGGGGGGCAGAGGAATGCTTTCTTAACTTGTGTCATGGCACTAGTTATAAATTAGTACAATAAATTTTCTTGGCAAGCACCTTCATAGCTCAGAAAAAATTCTTTTAATAATTATTTTGTATAAAAAGTTGCATTGCTCTCAGAGATTGTTAGTTTTAGGGTTTTTTTTTTTTAATTGGAACTCTAATGTATTTTAAGTAAATGCCATTGCCAGGAGAATATATAGTCTTACCAGTAATGAAAGGTCTAAGATTGAAAGTAATGAGTTATGGGTATCATCACTTTTTTCCAATTCTGAAATTGTTTCCGGTACAGAAATACTTTAAAACTAATTGTTCTCTGGATACTTTTTGCTGCTAATTAACATCTCTTTTTACAGGATTCATGAATAAAATTTTCCATCCCAACATTGATGAAGCGTAAGTAACTTTAAAAATGTTTAACCCTTAGCAGCAACTGCTCTTGATTAGCGTTCATCTCTCTCTTCACTGTGCACAAACCTCAATTATCTTTCTGGATTTTATCGGCAGATAGGACTGTGTGAGTGGTCACTTAAACTGTAGAGTCCCAGGGGTATGCTATTCTAAACACTTAGTTCAGGTTCTGCTATTGGACTGCTTAGCTTTTCCATGGTCATGAATGGGTCCTTCATTTCCTTGATAGCCAGTTAGCATTTGTAATACTTCACATCTCTGTTCTCTTTGTATAGACACAATTCAGAGAACTGTTTTCAGTGTACAGATTTAGCATGTTCAACCCTTAAAGTATTTCTCAGTGTGCGAGAGTAGAGCAGACGTGAATAATTGTAGTTTCGTTTCAGTTATTGAATCTTAATTATCCCTTTCTTTCCTTCTAATGTGAGAGATATTTTAAAATGTGACACCAGTGCCTCCTATTTTGTTACTTTCGGTGCTGTTTAGAATATGCGATGATTTGTTCTGCATTTTTTCCCTTGTTACGGCACTAAATTTTGGTATTTCGTGTGCATACATGTACGTGTACAATAGGGTGTTCCAACCCCTGTGTGAGGAGGTCGTATACCTGCATCGTGCCCCGGGGTCCTGTGATACGTCTATGTATCAGTCACCCTAACAACAGGATGCTCTCTTAACGCACCTGCAGCAAAGCCATCAGACTCAGGAACTAAATGTTAATGTAGTAGCAGTTTCTAGTCTACTGCCACATCCTGGTCGTGTACTTTTTAGCTTTTTTTTTGTTTGTTTGTTTGTTTGTTTGTTTGTTTGTTTGTTTCCATTCAATAAAGGATCCAATCCAGGCTCAAGTATTGCATTTAGTTGTTATGTTTTTGTAAACTAACCTGGAATTACTTTAATCAGCTTTTTATGAAATTGGTATTATTAAAAAATTTAGACCAGTTATTTTATAGGATGACTGTCCCTCAGTTTGGGCTTCTCTGATGTTTCCTTACCGTGACACTGAGTGTGCACTTACGGCCAGAAAAGCACAAAGTGGGTTGTGTCCTCCTCGGGTGTCCTGTTCTGAGGCACACAGGCCTGCCGGCCTCTGGTTACCAGTGCTCATTCTCATCTCCTGGCGAAGATGTTGTTGGTTTCTCCATTGTATAGTGACAGTTTTTCCCCTTCAATCTGTAAGGAGACACTTAAGACAGGGTGGGGGAAAAATAAGTTGACAGTTGTTCGTGTGGAAAATAATGCAATAGTAAATAATAGTACAAGAATAAATTCTGTTTCATGCACTCACAACTGTAAACCTACTTTTGCCATACCTTGTATTTTCTCCTCATCACATTTCCCTAATTGGGATTCTTTTTTTTTTTAATAATCTATTAAAAGTATTTTTCTTAATAAATAAAATTAGTTGCCAGATACATGCAACTAACTTTCTGATTTTTTAAAAAATGCCATTCTTTCCATCTGTTTCAGGTCAGGAACTGTGTGTCTAGATGTAATTAATCAAACTTGGACAGCTCTCTATGGTGAGTTTGGCCATGGAATACTTTTAGAGGTATTGAGACACTGCCTTAAAAAATGTCATGTGGCTTTTCTTCTCTGATTTAAGATGTTTTGTTGGGAATGGGAAGGGATTTTAGAGGCCTGGATGGGAAAGTTTGATCAGTGGTGGGGGGGGCACAAGTTTTCTCACAAGTTTAAACTTTGGTGTAGCAGAAGTTCAAAATCTTGTGAGGTTCTGAAATTATAGTGATATATGTAGACATAGAGATATATATATAAAACTTTGCATATCTGTGTATATTCAGAAGCACATTGTACATGTGTTTATCTGTAATGCCTTTTATTTTTAGAAACACTTTTAGAAATGTCCCTGTGAAATGGTACAATGTATAAAGAGGTTTGGGGGATTATCTGTTTCAAAGGCTGGAACCGTGCCATGAAGCAAAGAATAATTTAGCTTTACCTTTAGTGCCGAAGTTGACATCTCTTCCAGTGGATCCACAACGCGTTGCCTAGCTCAGCAAAATACGGTGCTCAACATCGCAGAGAAGTACAAGGAATATCAAGCCTTCTCTCCCTGAGCTTGTAACTGGGTTGGAGAGCTAAACACACTTTAAAATACATTGGAAGTTGATTAGGGCTGCAGCAGATTGGTGTGCTCGCCCCCCACGTGTCGGACTTCTCGTGGGTCACAGGCCCGCCCTGCCGTGGTGCACCCCACCCCGTGAGCTTCCCCTGACACTCGGGCTGGGAGCGGTCTCTGGCCACTCTTATATTCTATAACTGTCTTTTGTGGCCTGCACTTCCTTTCTACATTGTGTTTGTTGTTACGCCTGTATATTTTGTGCTCCCTGATTATTTCCTGCCTTAAGAACCAGTTGAGGTGTGCATGTCTGCTTTGTCTTAAGTCCCGGCACTCCTGCCAAAGGGCCTTGCACTGATGCGTTTGAAAAAATGAGTGGTGCAAACAGGTGCTGAGAGGTACAAGAAGAGGGAGGGAAGACCACTGTAGATTGGGGTTTACCAGGGATGGCCTCCTGTTGTTGAAGAGTTGTGAGACCTTTTAAAGGTTTAAGGATCGCAGGCATCTGTCTTACTGCCACCACCATCTGTGAGTCACTTTGCCACGCACCCTTGTACGAGAATGGTGCGTGAGAATCTCAGGGAGGTTGGTCACCAGCAGCACACAGTAATCCTTTTTTCTCCTCCCGATTCTGCCATTTAAGAATTTGCCATTTAAGAATTATTTCCTCTGCCTGGAGTTTTCTTCCCTAATCTTTGAGTGGCTGGTACCTTTTCTCACCTCAAACATAACTCCCTGCGAAGCCTCCTTTCCTAGCCCCTGTGTCTAAAGTAAACATCCCCCACAGTGTGGCACCCTGTTTCAGTCATCTGTCTTTAAAACCAGTGTTTGTTTACCATTTACCTTGTCCTAGTAGAGTGTACACTTCGCAGGAGCAGGGGCTTACACACACGCGCATACGTGTCTGAAACGGTGCCTGGTGTGCAGGAGGGGTGCAGATCTTTTTTGAATTAACGAGTGGCTTCATCGTGCTCAGTGCTGTTCGGCATGAGAGTTCTAGGGAAATTACAGCTTATGAGGAGAATCAGGCAACAAGGAAGAGACGTACTTCGGAATCCTTTTAAGATGCTTTGTTTGGTAAAGAAGTCCGTGGCAGGCTGCCTGGAATATCTGATGTAATGATGTCCTTCCTTACACTGCATTCACATTTTAGAAATGTACACAACAAAATACTGCAAGCTGGTTCCAATTATAATATGGTAAATTGGATGTTAGTTTAACTAATTATTTTACTGTTGACCAGAAAATCTTTGTGGAAGAGGTTTGCTGATTCTTAAGTACCTCACATCTCAGAACAGATCATTTTTATTATTTTTATTTACTTATTTTTCACTTTTGTAAAGACTTTATTTACTTTTAGAGAGAGAGGGGAGGGGAAGAGAAAGAAGGGGAGAAAAAACATTGACTGGTTGCCTCTTGCCCACCCCCAAGTGGGGGGCCTGGCTCGTTATTGGAGCCAACAGCCTTTTGGTTTGCAGGCCACTGAGCCACACCAGCCAGGGCAGAACAGATTATTTTTTAAATAATAGCTTTATTGAATTATAATTTACATACATAAAATTCACCCATTTAGAGTGTGCATTTTGATAGGTTTTCGTATATTCACAGTTGTGTGCAGTCACTACCACATTTTCATGACAAACCCTTTCATCCCCCAGCAGGAAACCCCTCACCCTTAGCCGTCACCCCCTTCTCCTCCCATCCCCACTCCCCAGGCCTAGGCAACGACTCCTCTGTGTCTCTACAGATTTGTTTATCCTGGACATGCCTTATGAATGGAATTATAAAACTCATGGTCTTTTGTAACTGCTTTTTTTCCCCCCATTCCATGTAATCTTTTCGAGATTCATCCATGTTGTAGCATGTATTAGTACTTCATTCCTTTTTATGGCCAAATGATGTTCCATTGTACAGATGTCACACATTTGTCAGATGATGGACATTTGGGTTGTTTTTACTTTTGGGCTCTTAGAAATACTCGTGTACCAGCTTCCATGTGGACGTAGGTTTTCATTTCTGCTGGGTGTTTACCTACGGGCATTACTGGGTGGAGTGGTGGTGACAGTCTGACCGTTTGAGGAACTCACGGACAGTTTTCCAGAGTGGTTGTACCCTTTTACATTCCCACCAGCAGGTGAAGAAGGTTCAGAGCAGACTTTGAAGCAGGAGGCCAGCATGACCAAGGTTTCATCCTACCTATAAAATGCTAGAACGTGTTCTTGTGTCACCTTGCAAAGCATTTACTAAGTAACAGATTAAACCTCATTGGTCAAAGTGAACTTTGATTTCTGTATTACATGTGTTTCAGTTATTGTTAAATGCTCCATGTAATGCAAGAGTGTGGGCATGCTATCATTACAGGTAAGTCCAGGAAACCAGAAGAATACATTTAGAATATAGCCCATAGTATATTGTGTGTGAGAGAATTGTCTTGATATGTTGCTTTAACCCCAACTTTTCCTTGAGAAAATTTCAGAATTTTATTTAAATTTTAAAAAGTGTAAATTTAAAATTTCTTTATGGATCATTCTAAGGGCAAGTAAATATGGTTTATATCAGAGTATCTGTGGAGAGGGTTGGTTCAGAGTACCTTGTTTCTTTCAGACTTGCCTGATCTTGAGATCTAAACCAGATTTTCATTACACACTGCTAAAGCCTCTAGCATCAAAGATTAATCGTAATTGGTGAATTCTGAATCACTCAAATTTTTGCTGTAATTCTTGAGAAAAATCTTCATTAAAAGGCCAAAAAAATATCTAACTTAGTATGTAACAACTACTATTACAAAGTTGGATTATTAGCACAGGTAACCGAAAAGCAGAGGCTCGGCCAGGCAGTGAAAGCTTCTTCCAGCAGCGCTGCTGTCCGGGCTGGTGAGCAGCGGGGATGGCGGGAGAGGTTTCCTGCAGCTCCCTCTGCCCCGGGGCCTGTGCTGTGCTGCGGGTGCACGCGTCTGTAGCATAACAGCAATTCCCAGTTGCAGTTTCAGACTTAACTTCCATAACTTGGTAATAAACAGTGCTTATGTTTGTAGCAAATCTGGTCTTCTATTCTACCCTCCAGCTTCCCCCCACCCAAAAATAATAATTTCTGGTAGCCCCTGTGACTCATCGCTCCTGTTCTCATCCGGGTTTTCTTTGCCAGGCATACAGCAGTTTGTTCATTCAGAAGCTCAAAACTGGCACAATTGTAGTTCAATCAACCAGTAATTTTTAATTGTATATTAACCTTGCGAGAGACCTCATTACAGTGAGTAATATGGCTAATTTTCTAAAAATGCCTGTCATCAGTATGAAGTCCTCTCTTGAGTATTTAGGTTCTGTTGTTACTCTTGTGGGCTAAAAGGAAAGGGAAGGGTGCCAGCCCAGAATGGATGTGTTTGGCCTCCTGTGCCTTAGCATCTTTTCTGGAAGAGCAAGCACCTTCCTGCTTGCTCTTGCAGACCAGACAGCAGTGATAAAAGCTCTGGGAAACTTCAAATGTAGCTAGGGGGTCTGGATTTCAGTTTCAAAAACAACTGTAATTTTTAAAGAATGGCAGAAGGAAAGTTCAAAAGCCATAAGTAGCTTTTTAAGCTCCTCCTCGTGTTTTTCAGTTTTTCTTTTTTTACTCCAAAATACATATTTTATCCACAGTTGTCTTTTCAGCCCAGACTCCTGGATGTCAGGTACCTTCACTGAAATACAGCTTTAATATCCCTCCCACGTGTCTGGGCCATGCAGACTTGACCCCTGCAAATTGTGTTTATCTCCTCAACTTTCATTTGACTCACTCCTCAACTGACTTGGTAAATTACTTATTTTGTGGATCAAGTTGTGGACATGGACGGTGGAAGACAATTTTCTTATAAAATTCTGCAGTTTATAATTTTATTCCTGCCCTTAGGGTTGCTAACCAGTAGACTGGATACTTCCCTTATTTTGCTGGTGAGAACAATCAGCATTTGGGAAATGACTTCCCTTAGGTCATCTGGGGTGTCATAGCAGACAAATGAAGGTGACTGCAACAGAAAGAATGCTTAAGGGACTTTGAGGTTAGAATTAGACGAGAGAAACAAAGTTTGTTTTCCGACGCAGTTAGACAATTTTTAAACCATGAATTTATTTAATAGTAATAAATCATGGCCTAATGCATTTAAGCTGCTAAATGAATGAAAGCTTTCTCGTGTTGGAAATACTTACTCCACCCCTCTTTTCAGTTAGATAGCCTTGTGAATCTTTCCAAACAGTTCAGATTTTGGCTGAAGGGAAATGTACCTTAAAATAATGCTTTACTTGGAATTAGTGTTTGCTGTTTCCAGACTTTCTGTGTAGTTACACAGATAAAAGGTATATGTATCTGTCTGCATGGATGATTGGCCAACAACTACTGTTTGAACAGGCTTGAAAACCCAGTATTGATCCGTCCTCGGGGGAACCACAAACACGCGCCTGCCTTTGA